TGGGAAAACTAATTAGCATGATAGCAAATATTTCAGAGAATATAAAAGAGCTTGTTATTCCCTCCTTTCATGTAGCCACAAGTTGAGCTATTAGAAAGCTGACTCATCCCACTCATGGATGAATGAAGCAGAGAAAAGCTTGACTGTCCAATTGGCCAAAGTGTCCCCAAGGCAGAAGTAATGGTCATGTCAAATAGGGGTTCATCCTTAAGAGCAATAATACTCAAATTTCCCCATGTCCTAGATTTGCCCCCTCATTCATTAAATCTAGATCCACATGTCTCGTGTGTAAGTCCACTTCAACATCACAACTTGGTGAGTTTATAAAAGCATGTTGAAGGTTGCCTTGTAGATGGATGATGCATTGCTCCAAAGAGTGAGAAAACATAGGGAGACTATCATGCCTGAGTTTTTTGTTTTGTTCTTGAAGTAGTGTATGAAACCTACCTACAAACAAAAAGTAAAAGAAAAATAAACAAAGTCAGAATAATGTTAGAAGTCATTCCATAATTTTGCATGATTTAGTGCTTCAACAATTGCTATATGGATTCACACATTGTCGATTTCCAATCCTTAAGGAGCCTCGGATGAAGCAAAATATCTTTGAACGCATTGAGATTTCCATCGCACTCAAAAGGCTGTAGACACTTACAAGCAATTCAACATGCATTACAATGATGGCCATTCATTACAAAGTAAAAGCCTAGTACATCACACTAAGTACATCAACATGGTAGCATTTAAGTCCCTAGTAAAATCTGACTCCTAGATCTTTCAAAGTACAATTGTTTAATGAGGAGTAGCGTTCTTTCCTTGATGAATCCCTTGATTGTTAGAGCCATATAAAGTGCGATGTGGTTGAGCTTTTGATCTTCAAGGCTGCTCTTGGTTCTTGTCCTTCTAGGCTTGCCCCTTGGACATGGCAATTGTGAATGATGGGAGAGAAATGCTTGCAATTGGAGATTTCCTCAATCCTTTGTTGGTCAAAACTTTCTCCATGGATGAATATTCCAAAAGGTGTCTAGACTGACAAAGATTCGCGCTTGACCATGTATGAATCCATATCTCGATTGTTGAAGGCAGAGAATCAAGCAAGATTATGGAAGTGCAAAGAAATAAACATGAATGCCAAACAATAGATAAAGGATGAAGGAACATGAATATGCTCTAAAGTGATAATGTGTGTGGAGTTGTGTCCTAAAGCATGCATTTTTGGGAATGCAAGAAAAGAAACAAACATGGATGGAAAATGAGTGATGAAGGATGCAAGAATATGCACATGCTGACAAGTGGTAATGTGTGTGAAATTGTATCCTAAAAATTTTCTTCAAGTATGCAAATTTCAAAGGAGCAGCTGGTGATTTACTATTGCAAACACTAAATTGGCATTCATGGGAAATATCATTTGAAAAGAAAGCAAATTCCATGAAGCTTGAAGAAAAAGTGAATGGTGTGATGCTTAGAGAAAATGATGATGTGATGCTCCAAAATCATGTGCTCAAATTATTTTGATGTCTAAAAGATGGATTTTTC